GTTGGACACGTGCACATCACCTAAAGCACATCTGCCCACAACCAGCTGCTGAGGGCAGGATTTTGGCTCCACAGGAGGGAATTTGCTATTGAAGAAATATCTGCCAAGGGAGGCCAAGATTCAGCCCAGACCCAGGGTGAAGGTGGATCACCCTCTGGTCCCTGTGCATGGACACTGATGGGATTCCTGCTATGGGCCTCGTGTGTACCAGGGGATCCTTTGGCTGTAGCATCTGGGAATGCTGTTTCCAACCATGATTAGAAGGGTAACTGTAAATGGCTTCTGCCTGGGGCAGAAAAGGAAGGATATTTGGACAGGGAGCCAGTGTTTGACAAACCACCTGTACAACGAGGTCTGAGAAAATTACCTACACTTGATTCAAGGGACAACAGTTATGGTCTAGGAATTGTGTTGGTTGGCTTTAAACTGAGAGACACTGTTAGTAAAAACCATAGGCAGCTATTTAGAGCAGAGGATTGAGCAATTTAGTCTTGCTTCACTATCAACAAATCCAATTATTTATTACGGTGACTCTTGTCAGGAATTAACTTATCGTGGCTTCCACTGGACTGTGAGCAATGTGCACATGATGAACAGGGTGTGACACCTTTCCTAACCCTTGTAGTGAGAACTTTGGGTCTTAACACAGATTGCCAACATGTGAGTTTTATTTGGAATAACTCATTTTTAAAAGAAAGCAAAAATTCTTTAAAATTAAAAACTCCGTCCAAATATTTTGGGGGAGTCAAGGGTTTTTTAATGCCAGTCCTTGTTGCAGTAAATTAATACACAAACATATTACATGGAAGAGGAACCAATTAAGAACATATAAAGGCCTACAAATTTAAACAAACAAAAGGCCTGTCTAGGAATGGCATGGATAAATTGCAGGTATTAATCCCACTTAAGGTATAAAAAGAACTCAAACGGGTCAAAGCTCCACGTAAACTAAGACATGGCATTGAATCCTGTTGGAATAACAGAAACAACATTGCATATGGGAAGAACAAGGAGAGGTTCTGAGAGAAATGCACAGCAAATGAAAGCATGTGAGAGAACCAGAAGGACCCCATTTCACAGACTGGGGGAGTTCAAAGCAAATCAAGTGTCAGAAGTTGGACTGGGGACAGTTTGGTTGAGAAGGGAAAAGTCAGGGTGAGATTCTGGATGTGACGGCAGGAATTCACCTCTCCTCGGTGTCTTGTTTTTTATGAAACCCCCTCAGAAGTAAAATTTAATCAAACATAACGCACCTCTGATGCCTGATTTAACCTCAAAACCGATCTCCAGTCATAGCACGGAGACTTTCAGATTCCAAGGAAAGCCAGACTAACAGCCCCCTCTAGAATTCAAACCACTTGAATTGTTCTAGCACCATTTTGCTTTAATTTATACTCTTTCCTTGGCTTTACAAAATTTGCTCATTATAAATGTATAATAAAAAACAGAACTGTTAAAAACTGTTAAATTGCAATTATTAAGCCCATGTGGCTTCACACGATGATTTTCTTCTGGGACTGTCAAAAGTTCTGTGGGACAAAGAAGAACTTTTCATTTTGAGAAAAGGAAACAGTGTATAAGTTAAACTGCATCACCTTTCCTTTAGCACTTCCAGACACTGGTGTCACTTGAACAAATCCACTGGATCTAAGTCAAAAGCCACCAGCACCAATGGAAATCCTCCTCCTGACTTCACCTGCTTCTAGATCAGCCCCTGTGGCTGACAGATACCACAACAAAGTCCTTCACAGTAATAGTAGAGGGAATATTTGTAGCCATCTCTTCAAAAGATAATGTGGCTCTGATAAGAAAGGCATAATTAGCATTGGAGGAAGGATTCCATATCCTTAGTTCAAAATTTAACAGCAGTGTCTGAAATTTTGTATAAATGTCAGTATTTTCAGTGTTACTGCTGACTCTTGTTAGTAGAAATACTTGCTCTGCTGTGCTTTAACCTTCCTCAACTCTTCAGTCACGTTTATCAGGTGTGTAACACAGCATCTGTGAAACTCATTTTATACATTGGTCAGAGACAGAAATATGTTGGGGAACAACTGTAAAGAGAAGGGGGAAAATGCTCTTTGCAACTTCAAGTCATGTTTGAAACGGGGGCTGCTGAACTGCTGCTTTCTCCTGAGATGAGAGATAAAAAGCTGCTTCTAACATTAGAGTTTCTAGAATGAAGACTGTTTTAAATGCTAAGCAGCAATCTTGACTTGTTAGGACTGAGTTAATTACTATCATCTAGAAATAAGTTCTTCACAGTCATCCAGCAAGGTTTCTGATGTGTCTGTAAGGAAGTGGTACAATTTCTATGACTCAAAAAAGATCAGCCATTCCCCACTGCTGCCCTTCCAGCCACCCAGGTCTGCCACACGCTGCCCACCAGGCTCTGGGGGATTCAATTCCTACAAGAGGTTCACTAAAAGGATAAAGGAATTCACAAAAAGCTCTTCCCATGGATAATTATTCAAGATCTGCATTATTTTAGCCTCTCACTTGTTTAGTTTGTATGCAGCTGCAGCAAGTCGGTTGTCAGGGGCTCAGACTCTGGCAAACAATCCTCTTCAAGTCCAGTTTTTGTCCATTAGGCTCATAATGAGCAACAACCCCAAACTCCTGCCAGCTGCACTGCCAAGGGATGCCCTCTTGGTCCAAGGGCAAAGGGCAAAGTGTGGCTTTGCTGGTTGGCAGCAGCGTCCCACTGGTTGGAGTGTGGAGCTGGCAACTGCTTGACTCCGATCCTCCCTTTATTTCTAAAAGCAAGCCTTAATAATGTCTTTTTTCCTGCCATAATGACCTGCCATCACTCCTTTGCACAGGGCTGCTCCTGGAATGATGTCCAAAGCCATGTCATTTATGAACTATAAAGCAACCTACAAGTTCCTCATGCCCATGACCATCCGAGAACAGCACCGGATGTGGTGGTGGAACACCCACCCCATCCCCATCCCCATCCCCATCCTCATCCCCATTCCTATTCCCATTCCCATTCCCCTTCCCAGGCTGAGCCTGCCTTCACCAGACCAGAAAAACAGGATGTATTATTCTTCAGGTATTTACATGTAACAGGAAGAAACAGCCTTATTTCCCTGGATGTTAATGTGATGCCAGTTGGAAAGGAATATCCCAAAGCACGTTAGACCTGGTAGGATTCATCTTCCATACATGTCTGTGACTAGTCAGGACACCAAGACACTGTCCCTCTCTAAAGGAGGGTTTTTAAACAAATGCATTTTGTCTAAAAACATACTGAACAATTAAACTGAGTAGGCTGCTCTAGAGCTGATTTGAAAGGCTCAAACTTTTCCCAACCGTTTCAAGTCTGAGAAAATCCACCCGCTCTCCATTTGTGATTCAAGCCCTTGGTAAACACACTCCACAACTGCACCATGGCTGGGTGCCAACGAAATGGTGAGTCAGCAGGCAGGGGAGGGAATCAAGTGTCAAGAATGCATTTAACCCTCACTCAGAGAACACTTTTATTGCCCAGCAGAACAAAACCACGCCATAAAATGCAAAAAATTACTGGAAGTTTTTTCCTCCATTAACGAAGGCAACTATTGCAATTTTCTTCCAACTTTATAGGAGCTCTCAGGTTTGAAATTAGGACAAATGCTAAAGAAAACAGCAAACTGATGAGAAAGAGGTTCATGAACACATATCTGTGCAGTCCTGTGATCCCTACTCTGACAAAAATCCCAGTGATAATCCTGGGAAGGCTGAGTGCTGAAGGGTTTCATGAGAGCATTAGAATCAATAATACTAAATACTCACACGGATATAAAAAGGAGTACATTTTCCTAATGAAAATACAGTTCAACTCGTGTGTCCTATTCCCAAAGGAGTATCTGTGCATGCTGCTGTGCTTCACAGTGTTCTTTGGGGAGCGTTTGATGAAATCACGAGATTTCCTAAATCATTTTTAAATTAATCCCTCTTAAGAAATTCCCCACTGAAGCATCACTTTGCATGCTCACTCTAGATACTCCATTCAAGAAGAAAAAAAAAAGCATAAAAAGATTGAGGATTAAAAAAAAAAATAAAGGAATATTTGAAAGAGGGCCCACTCTTCCACCTGAAGGTTTGAACACTCATTTACAAGGTGGTTAAACACTGCCAAACCAGAATGACAGCATTTTATACCTACCTTCTTACTCTTCACAGGTGTAAATAACCACATTGGACACCTGTGGAGGAGGGGAAAGGAGCAGGAGGAAAAAGACTCCAGTTGTTACCTTCAGAGTGTTAGTTGAGGGTCATTACAGACGAGCTGTGAATTTCCAGCTCACCCCCATTGGGGAACAGATCCCATTTCCAGTGAAAGGCTGAGGACAGGCAGCTCAGCCTGTGAACACCCACACAAAGGAAGAGTTTTGTCACAATTCTTGCCCCACTGAGCTCCATGGCCTGAGCCACCTTCTCCAGGAACTCGACTCAACAGCCAGGACCATCCATTTAAAGTTGGATTGTCCTGCCCTGGTTAAAGCTGGGCTGTGAAACGGCACAGAGCAGGATTAGTTTGTACACACATCTAACATGTCCAGGGTGGGAATGCTCACAGCAAGGTTCCCTGCACAGATCTTGGGAAGTCCTTTCTCCCATCTAAAAACCCTCACAAAGCCTGAGCCTGAAGTTTAGACAAAACCATCACCTGTGGCATGAAGAGACAAGCCCTGCCAAGCAAGGCCTGCTGGAGTGGTTGGAAAGACTTTCCCCCCAGCCTTCAGCCCTGCCTTTCTCCCAGCTGTTGGCAGCTGGGGCAGGGGCTGCATCTTGGACAGGCACAGGTGAACCAAAGGAGATACATTTGAGCTGATTTTGAGCTCAAACAGCTGACAAAAATATAGGACATTGAAAGATGGCAATGTCCCACCGAGGAACACAGCAGCAAGAAGGAGATCATCTCTTCAAATACCACCTTCCCCCCATCATGACTTTACGGACTGGAAACACAGACTGACCAAAGCATAACGAGATGGGAAACTCATGTTACTCACTGGGAAGGATTCTGTCACTCCTGGAGAGAACCAAGTCCTGCTGAACTTCAGTTCTGAAAGCAAATTCCCCATCTATTCTGCTCGATTCCTCCATCTGAGGTTCCTAAAGAAAGAGGAATGGGAAAGACCGTCAGCTTGCAGCTTATGGAGGAAAATCACGACACATCTTTCCTGTATGCAAAAGGCTCTAAGTGATCTTCCATCATTATCACACCACTAATTCCCAGAAATCCTGCAGAGCTCCAGAACTCTCCAGAGCGCTGTTTCATGTACCCAGCACTCCTCCATCAAAAACTGTCTTTAAAAAATAAACTAATAAATTCCAGTTACAAATGGAAATTTCTTTGTCCGTTCTTGCGCTCCCAAACCCAAACACCTCTTTGGTTTTCTCTGTGGACATCCCTGGGAAACGTGAGATCCACAGGTCATTCCAGTTCAAATGCTTGGAACCTACTGAACCCATCAGGAGAGTAAGAGACCAAACAAAATGACACATGCAGTGGCACTACAAGACTAATACAATTGTTGATTAAGTAGCAGAAAAATCTGAACACTTTACAGCTTGGTGGCCTGTTGTATGAAGGTCCTTCACCTAAGAATGTGAGTTATTGTGGAGAATTTTATTTATATAGTCTGTTCGATTTTTATGCAGAAAGCATTAGCAGAGACTGTTTCAAATAATTTCAGATCCTCAGCACTAAATAAGTGGCTCACTTTCAAGAACCAACCAAGAAAAAACATTCCACAGAATGTCATCTATTCCTTTAGAAAGGGAGTTGTATTTCATCAGCATGGATGCTTAAGTGGAATAAGGCTCAGTATGGGGACTGTTTTCAGCAATAGTTGTTAATTAAGTAGTAAAGTACTAATAAAATGTTTAGGCAGGTTGCATTTAAATAAGACTATAATGATATGTAATTACTCAAAAAGAGTGCCAAAACCATTCTGCAATAGACTGTGTTCAGTTTTCATGCACTGCCCAAATCCATTTGAAAACAGAAAGGATTCCAATGTCCACTGTACAGTGGCCAGGGCACAGGCAAGCTGGGAAACTTCTGCTCTCAGCCACAGAGGAGGACCTTTATTTAAAAGCAAACTCTTAAGTTTCTCGAACAGAAGCTACAGAAATTAAAAGAAAATATTCTTAACACATACAGGAACAAATAAACACAGAGCAGCAGCAAGGCCAGGAGCTCTTCTGCACGGTCCTCATGAAAATCCACCAGGAAAACAAGGAAGAGCCTGTGAGGAAGCACAATCCTCCCTGAACTCCCCACGGGGGCCACAGCAGGAACCTGGCCCAGCAGGACACCCCCTTCTGAAGGAAACTTGGGGCAAAAGGTACCAAAATGTTCTGCTGCAGCCAGGTCTGGGGAGAGAGGTGCAATTCTCTGCTCTGGGTCAGCAAAAAGTGCAGGAGGCAAAAGGGACTTGGAAGAGTTTCAAGCAAAGGAAGATGCAAATATTTAAAACTGAAAAATGTGTCAGCGGAGATAAAGGCTCAGCAGAAAAAAATAAGGATGAAGTTGAAATGCACAAAACTGACACCATAGCAGAAATTAAATAAAAGTATGGGGGAGAGAAATGTTTATATCTTAGATACAATTTATATTATTATCTCTAGAAGATAAAAACCAGTGCCACTAAGTATGGAGAAATTTTGATTTTCTAAAGGCTCCTTTTACTGATGACAGTAGTTCTTCACCTGTGGTATAAATGCAGTAAGTAGCTGACAGTCTAATAAGTCCCAAACTTGCTTGCAGAATCTTTATATTCTTTATAAATCTTTCTATTCCTCAATAATAGCCATTGGTGTCTTTTAGGCTAATTAACAACAGGCTGCTGCCAACATGGTCCTGTTTGTTTTTAAATCAAATCAAAATAACATTCCTGTGATTACTGTGAGGACAAATAGTTTATAAATGTACATCATAATTCTGAAAATTTTAATTTTACTTTACAGGCCCTTCCAACTTAAACTACTTTATGATTTGCAAACTAACATGGTACATCTCTGCACCACCAAACCCATTTCCTGAATCCTGTTGAAAACAAACCTTCATATCACCTTGCAAAAAGCAGAGGTAGGATTTGCAGAAACTTGGATTATTTTTGCCTACGTATGACTTGCAGATGATCTACAAAAACACTAAACCACAGGCTTGGTTTTTAAATTAAAGCAGCTGACCACAGGTTACACACATGAAAATAACTATCTTTTTAAAACAGGAAGAAGGTCTTGTTCATTTGACAAGAATGGTACGTTTTTTTAGAGATTCCAATCTTACAACTAGAAAAATAGGTCATCTTCAACTGATATAAAAAGATTTATAACCAACCAAGAACAAAAATCCAAACCCACAGGCTCAGAGTGAGGTTCTCACCCTGTAAGTCAATTAATGCTCTAAAATATCCTCATTTCTGCTCTGCAAGACCTCACAATTTTCACTGTGGAAAAGCTGTGCTTTGAGCATTAAGGAAGATGACATTTATATTATGGGAGTTAGAAATGCAGTGGGTTAATGTTCTACTTTGTGAGCACATTACCAAGAAAGAACCTTCCCTTGGCACAAAAGACACTTTTTTTCCTTTGCATTCAGAAAGCTGATTTCCCCATGTAACTGAGTCATCAAGGAGACTGAGCAGCACCAGCCAAGAAATAAAGATTATGGCATCTGCTGCTGCTCCTTTCTGCCCTTGCTTTGGCTCAAACCCCTTTGTGCTCAGCCACCACACTCCCTCCAGGATTCCTCCTGTCCAACGTGCACAGAGGTTTGGGCTCCAGATGTGATGATCCACTTGCTGTGGGTCACACAAACCTTAAGATTCAGACATTGCAATGCCAGACAATACAAGATCTGAATTAATAATATGTAGAATTAGAGCACAGACTCAGGCCATCATTTGATATTAATATACCAAATATTGGTATTATTTGATTTGCTAAATTTGTCACCAGACAGGCCCCTAGAATCCAGAAGTTCATTTTCTGAAGAACTCTCTGTTATATTTTTAGGAGAATGATGTCTTCCTTTATTTCATGTGGTATTATATACCCAGTGCTTAGCTACAGAGCAGGATGTTACATGCTGTCAGCTTAGAGCAGTGTCAGTTCAATTCAAGGAACCTTCCCAGACTGATTAGTAAATAACACTAAGTCATGTAATTAAAACAAAACCAAAACAGTGGGAGCGCTGTGATACTGCATTGTCACTGTAATCTGACAGAGGTTTGGGATATTTATAGCCACAGTCAGAGGTCAGACACGCTGCTCGTTTGTGTAAAATACAGCCGAGCAAAAAGGAAAACTTCTCCCACTTAAGAATTCCTAAAACTGAGCAGAGAGTTGGCAAATTCACCCATTCCAGTGTGGCAGCACAGTGGCCAGAACCCCAAATCCTTTTCCCTTTTTCTTTCCCAGTCTTGGATGTTGGTGCTAAAGGACTTGGCACTGTTAGGTCACGTGTTAAGGTTGGACTCCATGGTCTTAAAGGTCTTTTCCAGCCTAAATGATCCTATGGTTCTATTACAACAGAGATAAGATCCTAAACCCAGATTTGTCCTCGTTGCCAAGATGCTGTGGGAACACAGACAAAGACAGTTCCTGCCCAAGAAGGAGGAAAATTCCCCATCAGAAATGCAGCTATAAATACAGATACATGGAAATTTAATATTGGGCTTGCTGTACTAAAATCAATAAGAGATTTTTCACCAACTGGAATGGAAATAGGATCAAGCCCAGAGATGGGAGATGTGCCAGCTTTGCTCAGCAGCCTCTGCCCAGGCCTTGCACAGTGTCATTTATTACAATCAGCACATCAGAGGGAGGTCTTCAGGATCAATACAAGGCAGAAAGAGACACAGTAAGTTTGTATGAGATGTAAAAATGGGGTTTGAAGCTGGGGATCAAGAGACAATGAGACAAAAGACAAGCAGAAAGAAGCACAGGTTGGCAGCTGCTACAAATCATTACAAGTCCAAGAGAACTGTGAAACATCTCCCTGAAAACAGGGCTTAGAAACCAACAGGGTAAAGCACAAGGAATGAAGAGGTTGAAAATGGGGTTTTACTCCAAGAAAAGAGGATGGCTGAGTGCTTTTTTTTTAATATAAAGGTAATTAGGAGAAATAAAATGTTTCTCTCAAAATTGAGACTTGGAATTACTCAATGGATTTGTTGTCAGTGAAAGGCTTTTGGTGAGAGAGCTTTTAGTGATGTGAAGGGAAGCAGGAACCAGCCTGAACACGAGGGACGGGGTAATGGACTGATTAATTTACACAGTATTTTGAAGCCTGTAAACAACAATTGTTAAAATAAGCCCAGAAATTTAGAAATGCTGAGCATTGAGTGTTCTCAGAGTGCACAGTGACATTAGTAGGCAAAGGAGCCGTTTGTGGCCATCACATGATTGATTTTCACGTTCATTTTCACGAACAGCGTTTGATTCAAAAAATATAAAGATACTTCCACTGTGACCGACAGCAAGACAAATGAATTAGGGGCTGCAAGCCAAAGAGCCTATTTTATCTCAAAAGAAGGGCTGCTTACTCATCTCTAGTCAACAGCCCCTTTTAAACACACTGAAAGTAATTTTAAAACCCCAAGGAATGATGGAATTTAAATGATTTGTGAGGGTGGAAGACTGAGAGGTTTTGCTACATGACCAGTTATTTACCAGAAAAATATCAGATGCTCTATTGCATTGTTTAATCATATTTATGGGAAATTTATTTTTTGCCCCAGTGAAACTCCAGCCAATAGAGCTGAGCTCAGACACATCACAGCAGGTCCAATTTGCTCTTCTCGTGGTCACGAGCACATTTCTGAATGAATCAGAACATTCAAATCATTCCAGTGAATCAGTTGGTCCTTCCAAAGAAGTTCAGATGGATTCCAATGAATCAGCCAACTCACAGAGAGGAAACAAGTGACAGGTTAAGGTGGTGGGTTTAGCTGTGGGAGATCCAGGTTGAATCCTCTGCTCCAGCAAAACGTGATGTGACCTGTGAACTGCTTCTGGTCTCAGCCTGCAAAGACAGTCAGGCACTTTCCACTGCAATTCCCCAAACCAGACTGAATCCATGAAGCCCCCAACTCCACCAG